CGTCCTTTGTAGGTGCCTTGCTTTTTTCTAGTCTCTTGCCGGGGGATGACGTGTACATCAGAACATCGCTCCTCCTGTGTTTGTTGGAAGGAGGGGAGCATTTTTCTCTGCTGAAGTCACAGCATCCGGAGCTGCTGCAGACCAGGATGTCGGTACAGTAGCGGCTGTCAGGCAGGTACAGCTGCAGCACAGCCTCATTGGCTGTGCTTGAAGCAGCTTTGCTGCTTCCCTATTTACGCAGCTTCCTCGCAGAATATTTTTTAAAGGTGGTAGCAACACCCTCTTTAAAACTTGCTTAGCTGCAAGGTTGCAGGCCTTTCACTGAAGGAAGCCTGTATGTGTGTTCGTGGAGGTCTAGCATAGGCCATCTGCAGTCCTCGTGCTTTCACAGTTAGCCCCTTGTGCTGCGTTTTACTTTCTCTGAGCTAAAGTTTCTTCCTCCTTTATAATTCTTGCTTCATGCCTATGGGTTTTCATTCCCTGCACCTTGAGTATGCCAAAGGGGTGTGGAAAGCTTATTATTGAAGTTTCTGGAGATGGTCTTTTCTGCCAGAGAAGAGAAAATGAGATTTTGCAGTAACTCGAGGGTAAAATTCACTCACCCTCCCTTCCCTGCACTGCAATGTGAACAGAACTGCTGAGGCAGGAAGGGATTCATCTGTGCCATGTGTTAGTTGTTAATTTTAGCTTTGCCATAACTCTTGACGACAGGGCATGGTTGTTTCCTACTGTAGGCAGCATGTAGCAGTTATCCAGGAGATACAGTGTGACTGTAAGACAGTAAAGCTGCAGCTCATCCCTGAGCTGTGGCATGCTGTCAAGGAGTGCAATAGACAGATTCTCATTCTGACTCATACAGCTGGTTCTTGCTGAAGTTGAGGCCATATGGTACCATTTCTCTTGCATTCATGCTAAACCATTGACTTCAGGATAAGTGAGGATAGAATTAGGTGCAGGCTGATTTCCACATGTGCCTGAGGACAAGACCTGGCCAAAAGGTTGTACATCTGCTGTTGTACATACTGCATTTAATCTTTGACTACCGCCTTTTTCCTCATTCTGGGTAACTGGTGAAATCTGGATGAAGTACCAGTCTGCTGCTTGTACTTGCATGGTCAAAAAGACACAGGCTTGTCAGGAGAGAGATCATCCTAGAACTGGATGTACAGGACCCAAACTGACCTTACTGCAGGAGTGCTACAGCAAGTTTCACTGCATAGCTTTAAAGTCTTCTCTAGGTAGCTGCTGGTAGCTTTGTTACACTGTGCTTTGATCTCTTGGGTCTAAGCCAAAAACAGACTGTGACAGAAAATACATATCTAGGCTGATAACAGTTTTTCTGTTTTCTTGTGATGCTTGTACTAGGATTTTACTAATACACGTTAGCTGGGGAACATTGCTTTTCAGATAACTCTGTGTTGCTGTGCAGTCCTGGCTGCACCTGGAGATGCCATTGTGACTGACTGTCAAGCTCGATAAGTGGGCTGGTTAAAGTGTGGGGAGTGCTGGCAGCATGCTGCAGCTAACTCTGGCAGCCTCTCAGGGGGCTCATTCTCTTTCCAGCATTGCTTTTAATATAGGACTTCAGCTGAGGTCCTATATTATATGAGCATGTTTTTCAGTGGTTTCTCCCCCCATTTCTATCAAATGCTGTGTAAAGCTGCAAACATTGTTTTACCTTAGCTAAGGAAGGGTGCAGAATCGTGCTGCTTCTGAGGGAGACTTCATGCAGACTTTGAGCCTATGCACAACATCTGGTAACATCTTTTCCTAGCTGAAGAAGGAGACCAGCTCTGTAGGAGAGCTTTGGACCTGGGTGAAAATGCAGTCATTAATGTGTTGAAGAACTGGAGGTACAGTTGGAAGTTGGTGTAGAGGTGTTGGGAGGGACAAGGAATTGAATGAAAGCTGAAACAGTTGACCTGGAGTCGGGTAAAGTGAGGAGTCAGGAATCAGATCTGCTTGCTCTGTAACAGTGCATTCTTCATAGGCAGTTTAACAAGTTTTGAAATGAAATCTGGAAAAAGAAAAAGTGATGTAGCTGTTATGTTGGGGCTTACACAAGCTTGCAGCGTGCAGTCTGGGCTGTGACTGGTGGAAAACACGGTGGAACAACCATGTGATTGGTGCTTTTCCAAGGCAGTGATGAGCTCACACTGTGCTCGCACCACAGCTGCATATATACTTTCCAAAATACACTTTTGGAATTATACATATGCCTTTTTAGCATGCTGATGGTCTCTGTGGTCATTTATTCCTGGAGCTAATGACTGTTCTTTCAGAGAATGTAAGGTAACAAAGTGACAGCTGCTCTTAACTAATCACTTGCTGCAGAGACCAATATTAACATGTACAGTAGATCCTTTTGCTTCTGATGGTTCACCGGTGCAATGGCAAATAAATTAGGCAATATCTTCATTTATCAGAGCAGTTCATGGCTGTAGTAGAGAATATGAGAGCTCATTGATGGTAACATTAGAACTACAGGCTGGATTTCTGTTATTCTTTGAATAAACAGGAATGCATAAAAAGAAAAAGATCTGTGACCTCACAGTCAGGCTAGTGTTAGCCATCCACCTCAGGTACACAGCTGGCATGAAGGGATGGGAAAAAAGAGTGCAGCTGGGGAGCTCTCATGGGCTCTCTTCTGGCTCCTCTACATGGAGTTAAACTGAAATATGGCACAACAGCCTTTTGCTGAAGTTAGAAGACTTCTGATTTCTGAAACAGTTGCTTTCTTTGCTGTGTGTGCAGCCCTTCTGCCCCAAAGGCCACGAAGGACAGCAGTTATTTTGGGTCTTGTAGGCTGTGGTGAAACAAGCAGGTTTGGGAGTTGCTGTGGCTGCTGTTGGTTACAGTGCTGTTGCTGCTAGCTCCTCCTGCAGCTGCTGGCTGACAGACCTGTTTTCTGATCAGTGTCCTCAATAATCAATAATGGTCTTTTATCAGCAATTAACCATTAACTTGTGGCTAATAGCAGACTTTTTTCATAACCTTTGTCTATGCATAAATAAATAGATGTAACAGCCTTGGATAAGGCAACAGATATGCTGAAGTTTCCATTTTCTGTATCTGAACTGAGCTTGTCTAAGGAGGGACCAGCAGTACAGTGAACTGGTGGATACAGGTGGCATCTGGTTCAGTATTGTAGGTTTACCTAAGGATATTAGCTTTAATAATATTAAATACCATAGTTCCTGCTTCATTGAAACACAAAACTCAAGTTCAAGATTTTCTTTAAACTACTAGTTTAAAAAAGTTAATAGATTTGCTGGTTTCTCTAAGTTTATAATTTCACTTAATTGATAGATATTCTCATGGTGCAAAACTACAGCATTGTTGAACAAGATGAATGAAAAGCTGATCTCTCTTCATGATTTGAAAAGAGGTAGTTAAATGTGGAAACACCAAGAAACCCGTAACTTATGGAAGGTCTTCCCATTTTAGTACTTGGATGAGTAGCGTAGAAAGTTGCTTTTTTTTTTTTTTTTTTTTTTTTCCAAATATCTCTTTTTAAACAGTTCATACTATGCAGTCCATACAGATGTACAGTTCAGTTTCAGAAGTGGAGTTTAAAGTCTTGAGTAGTTTAAGGGACTTAATATTTCTGGGTTGTTGTGTTGTTTGATTATTTCTTTACTGAGAGATCTGGTTAAATCTCAGCTGTGTTGATGGGTCCTGCTCTTCTGCAAGCTTTGCTCATCTCCTTGCTGCTATCTGCCAGAGGCAGGTGGCATTTTTTGTCTTTTCCAGTTCATATGCTGGAAGTGTATAAAACCTATGGGAGGGGAACTGAAACACCAAATGATTTGTTAACCTTTTTTTTTCCTGCTATGTGAGTTTCTACTAATTCGTAATATACTAATTTTCTCTGAGCAGCTTGCATTTATATTTTTTTTGTGTGTGCATGTGTGTACAAATTAAAATGCTCGTACCGTAACAGGGAAAAATTCTGGGTGGTTAAAGCTTGGTTTCATAGTTCTTGAGTTCCTAGGCTTTCAAGTACATTAGCAGCTTTGTTGATGCTAGTAATGCTGAGCTTGTATGTGCATTTGTAGAAAGAGGGCCTCAAACAGTCCATGGATCACAACTTCCTTACAAAGTTGTGCAAGGTAGAAAACTCAATTTCTATTTTCTACTGTAGTGTTTCCAAATTCAAAGTTTTGAGATGCTCTGTACAGCTCCAGTCAGAGATCAGTGATCATCTCAGATGAACTTAATCAGTTCTGTGGAGTACATGGAAGAAGGATACAGATTTGTGAGCGTTCCATTTCTGCTTCATAGTGAGCCTGCGCTTTGTGAGACTGACAGCTGAGTTTGCTGGCACTGTGCTTCTTTGTACTTTCATCTTATACAGGCTATATATGAGAAACATCCCCAGCTTCACCAAGAGCAGGTTTTAGGCACTAAAGGTGAATTTCTGCCCCACTGCTAGCCAGAGTTTTTGCCCTTAGATCGTAAGAAAGGTGGAAGCTTTGCTCTTCTGTTTTGTAAGCTCCCAGGTTATGTTTTAGGTTGCGTATTACTAATTGTGGACAGTTAAACAATTATTCAATGCAACTAATAAGGCCTGTTTCCCTGTGTTTGCTTCCACCTGAATCAGCATTTCTGATGGTTTGTGCTCCTGGAGAGAGGCAAAGAGAAAATACTTCATTTTAGATGTGATTATTGTCATTTGTGATCATTGAATGTAAAATGGTCAAGGTCTTACTAGATTGTTTAGTGAACAAAATTTCTGTCTTTAGCTAGTCTCAGTCTCCATATGTTAAATTGCCGGCAGAGGCCTGCTCCAACCCTTTTATTTTATTTTTAACCCTTTTATTTTCATTACAGTGTATTTATTTCATACGAACTGTCTGCTGCTGACTTGCATATTTGAGTCTAATGATGTGGAGGAGCTCATTGATTTGGGGGTACTGTGAGTGCTGTGATTCAATGGCCCAGAGCTAATTTTAGGATCTGAAAAGAATTCTAACATTCGTTCTGTTTCTTCTTTGTAGGTATTTGTATAAAATGTGGAAAAGGTGTGTATGGAGCGAGCCAGGCTTGCCAAGCAATGGGTAACCTCTATCATACCAACTGCTTCACGTGTTGCTCTTGTGGTAAGTCAGACTTTCTGCAGCCTTACTAAGTGGCTTCCTTTTATAATTTTGTGTTGCTGTAGCAGCCAGCATGCAAACTTCATCTTGCTTGTTTCCTGAGGCAAAATTCCTATGTGAGACTCCAGCTTCAGAAGTTCATTTTTTTTAAATTTAATTTTTAATTTGTAAGTTTTCAATGGTGTTATTCTTAAGCACCAGTCCCAAAAAGTAGTATTTGGTTGTTTTAAAGGTTACATTTGCAAAATGGCTTCAGCTTGGCTTTTATAAGCACTATGAGCTTTAAATCACTTGTTTATGAAACTGTAATGTGTATTTTTACAGGGGAAAAAAAAAAAAGGATAAAATTTGTATAGCCAAAGCCATTTTGCCTCAATATTTGTAAATGTAACTCCAATCAAGCATATATATATATTAATTGCTTCTGTGTTTTTGTAGTGCTCAGTTTTTGCTTTTCTTAAATGTGATAAAAACAAATAGAAATCACAAGCTGATACACCTTACACAATATTTCTCTTTTGTAAAGGAGAACTGTATGTAAATCACTGTCTGCTTACTACTCTTAGAAATTCTTCAGGTTTCTCTTTAAATCTGAATGCGTGTAAAAGTGATGCACTTAGTATTTCATCTGAGGAAGTCGTGGCTTTGCCAGGGATAACAGGCTTTAGAAAATTCAAGACAGCACTTTCAACTGTGTTTGTGGTATTGTGGAATCTTAGGATGGCTTGGGTTGGAAGGGATGTTAAAGCTTGTCTGGTGCTGATGCTCTGCCAATGGCAGGCTTGCCACCCATTAGGTCACACTGCCCATGGTCTTATCCAGTCTGGCCTTGAAAGCCTTCAGGGATAGGGCATCCACAGCTTCTCTGGGCAGTTTGTGCCATGTCTCACTGCCCTCTGGGTGAAGCACTTTGGATGGAAGCTTCCTCGGTGTCTTGTTTGAAACTGCTGTGTGCTCACAAATTCTTACCAAGTTCAAGGGAGGGGTGATAGCTCATTTTCTGGAGTCAGGTAGTTTTCCTTGATATATCTATGCTTTTTTTTTATTATTATTTTTTATTTTGTTGCTAGTATTCCATATCCAGATCAATATCTTGTTGTGACACATACATACAGCAAAAGATTGAATAAAATATGCTGAGTGTAAATTGTTTATTAAAATAATCATTAATGATTAGAGAAAGAGAGGAAAGGATTATTGGTAATGAAAAGAACCATTGTGAAGTTTACATCTGAAAGGAGAAGTGTTGTCTTTTTTCCTAAGGTTTCTACAGGTAAGTTTGTTTAAAGAAACCTACAACCTGAATGTAGGACTCGGTGATCTGTATAAATCACTCTGGACTATTACCAGTCTCTAGAATAAACTTGTCTCAACGCTGAGGAGATTGCTTATGACTTGTTCAAGTCTGACATTGAATAAGTAGCTGTCTTGTTGGCTCTCAGAGTGAATGAAGTGCCCTAGCATCCCACTTAGCAGAGGATTACAAAATGTGATAGTGGATAATATCTATTCACTCATCGCCAGCATTAACCTAACCTAATTGCATGGGTGAGTTCCAGCTTCCTTTTTGGGGCAGGCTTTTTATTTAAATAGTTAAGATGCACGTTTGTCACCACAGGTGTGAGTACACAAGTAACTTTGTTCTGCAGAAGAATATATGTAAGGGCTGAGGAGTGTATTAACAGCAAAACACACTCCCAGCTTAATTATCCAAAAGCACAGCAAGCTTTTGTGACCATTCTGTGAGGTGTGTGTGGCCAGTGTACATCTAACAGAGGGCGATTTGAGACGTGTCCTTTCAGAGTGTGGTTTTGCCTCACCCTGCTGTGCTGTAGAATTTCGTGATTCGTACAACTTTCCATGAGTCAGTCATGCCCATATGTGTAAGAAAACAGTTGCCATCTGAGCTTCTTGCTGTACTGTTGGTGGGCTGGAGAGCCCAGATGCCATCTCCTAGGATACTTCACAAGCAAGAAGTGCTGGGATTTGATTTTGCCTGCAGCTTCTGATACAACCTATCGAAACGGGAGTAGTCTGGGCCTTTCTGTTGTTAGGCACTGAAAAAGTGTCTGTGCTGTTAATGCAGCAGCAGGTCTAAGTACAGGTGAAATACTTGATGAAAATTTATATTCAGTTGCCTGCAAACATGAGATAAAAGCAGAGCCTTCCCTCTCAACTCAGCCCCTAAATAGTATCAAAGTGAACACAGTTTTTCAGCTGCACACTTGATTTGGGGCATCACATGCACTAGATCCAGACTTTAGGAATGAAGCATCCTGGTCAAATCTGTGGGAGATGCATTGTGGAGTGTGCTGCTTACACAGCTTTACCAGATATCTTGTATGAGCAACTGAACACAAACTGCTCACAGTGCTGGAGTTTATGAACAGGGAGTTCATTTTACCATATCATCCGTAATACCCATTTTAGACTTCTGTGCTCTAGTTTTGATGCACACCTCCAGAAAGGAGAGAAGAAACTGGAAAGGATCTGGAAGGAATTATGTGGATGATGAAAGACTAGAAAAAAGATGATCACTAGAGCCCAATGTATTTTGAGTATCAGAAATAGTGGGGGCAGGGGTATGTGACTTGGCTTGAGCTCGTGATCAACTTTTTCCAGGAAACAGCATTAAAAAGTGGTTTCATATGTATGAGATGCAAACACAAGACAGATCTCAAGGCGATTCAAATAGGGGAATCAAAGACAGTCTTTATACAATGAAGATCATTAATCACTGGAACAGAACAGCAGAGAAGTGGCAGATTCTCTGTTCTTCTGTTTGCAGATTAAGACCAAATGTCCCTTTGGAAAGTGTCTTAAGTTAAGCTTTAGTACATATGTACCTGGGTAATAATTAAGGACCTTTTTTAGGCAAGAAGTTGTACGTTATGAATTAATTCTTCTCCTGGCCAGTACTGTCCATGCCCTTGGCACAGAAGCAGAAGTGTGAGCAGTTATGCAGATACAGACTCTTGGGACTCTTCTGAAGCCCACCTGCTTTTCTTTTCTGATCATGAATGCAGAAAGGTTAGGAAATACTTCAGAAATGTAGTAGATAAGTAGGAAAGAAGTGGTGATTTGTCTCCTGTAGACATTTTTGTTAACATGCTTATATGGTAAGTCTCTTCATTGTCTTTCTTGTTTCTAGGAACTTTGGGGCAGGACTTGACAGTACTAATTCAGAATTGTTTGAAAAGTTTCTAGTGAGTAGAGATCAGAGGAAGAATGGAAAAGTCAATGATCCAGCAGGCAGAGACATTCTGTTTTAAAATAAAATGAACACATTAGAGAGGCAGAAATGCGTCAGTGAGTTTTAGGTATTTGAGCCTAACGTATGTACCTGAACGTCAGCATCTCAGAACTTTTTCGGTAACATTTTTATTTCTCTCTGTAAATACCTATTGCCTTTTGTGACAAGCCATGTTCCTCAGATGGGCAGTTTTCAAAGGTCAGATAATTCTTTTCAGGCAATGTAAAAGTTCAAGCTGTCCGGTTTTGCTGGTTAACATATATCTTCATCACAGTCTCTTACAGAAAACAATCGAAGGATGTTTGTTAGGATGCTTTTTAACAGTAGATTAAATTCCCTGTTAGCTGTAATGCCATTGAAACCTCTTTTAGGCCTCGATTCAGCAAAATCCTTATATGTAAGCACATATCAGTTACTCATATGTATGCTTTTCTGAATCGTAGATAATAGATTAATTTAGGCAACAGCATATACTGTCTCGTCTGTTAAGTGTAAGATCTTCATTTTGGCAAGAGTTCAGTTGCAAATTTTGCTAAAAAATGTATGCCTGAAAAGCTCATTGTCTGGTCTCTCTTGATAGTATTTCAGAGCATGACAGGATGTCTTGGAGGATAATTGCAATAATGTCAGATCTCTTGTGTGCTGTAAGTGCAGGTGATTGGTTGGAGGAATTAATGGGCTCTGTTACTTCTTGGAGAAAATAACTTACCTGTTACCTCCAGGCTTCAGGGGGCACAATAGTGTTCAAGTTACATTTGCATCCATAGCATCTTTTCAGGCTGAATATTTTATTCCAGTGCAACTGGCTGTAGGCACTACAGTAAAATAAATCTCTACTCTGAAGAAACATCAATTTGGTCATTGTTACTTTCAGAGTAATAGAAGGTGGTAGCAAGTGAGCTTTGCAGAGTCTGGGGGATTTCAAGTCTCCAGGCTCTAATGTATTTTGCCATGGAAAACAGGGACATATTCTGTTCTTGATGAAGGAAAATGTTTGAGCATGCCATTCATCTTTAATTTGTGCTTTTGCCACTGGTGTTAAGGCACAGGAAATCACTGCAGGATCAATCAGAAACCTAAAGCAAACTGTATAATCCCAAAGGTATGAAGCTCATTTCTTACCTAGTAGGTATTGATTAGTGTGGAGTACTGGGTTTTTTGTACAGCTATTTCATTTCAAGGGATGGAACATAAAGGTATCACAGTTCAGCTGCTTACTGGCAGTGCTGCTGCTGCCTCAGCCTGTAGCCTTTGTCCAGACTGTACAAAACTCATTGGTTCAAGCATCTCTTAGAGATCACAGTGAAAGCTGTCAGCACATTTATTCTAAAAGGCCCAAGAGGACCAACTGTAGCAGCAGGTATTGTTGCCCTGAAGATATGATGTGCTGTACTGTATTAGCCTCTGCCCTCCAAATAATGTAAGAGAGGAATCCGTTCATAGTTGTATTTGCAGTTTGACTATAGACTTGTATTACATCTCAGAGGCAACAACTGCCTTCTTATTGAGGCCACTGAGTCCTGCTGTATGTAAATGTCTATTAGTAGGAAGCTGGTTGTGTCCCTACTTGTGCAAGTTCCTTGTGACATTAGAAAAGTTCTTTTCCATGTTTGCTGCCTGGAGTTGAACTTTTGTTTGCTCTTGGTGGTAGTAAGGCACAGAGCATCCTAAAGGATGTTTCCCTTTGGGGATGTTTCCGCTCAGCGTAAATTTATCAGCAGTTGATGAGTTTTGGTGGTTAGATGCTATG